CAGCTTCAAGTTGGCGCTACTGCTTCTCTCCGTTTTGCTTCACTCTCCTTCGAACTCCTCCGCTCGTCTGATAGTGATTTGTGCTTTTAATTGTCCTGTTGTTTGTGATGAATTTTCTATTTTTGATCTTGCATGTTGTTTGTGATGAATTTGCTTCACTCTCCTTGAACTCAGTGCTACTGCTTCTCTGCACTTGACTTGTGTTGTTTGACTTTTGCTTCACTCGAAATGCTGCTAGGAGCCATTCTAGGAATATAATCAATCTTGAATCTCAGACTTGTGGGGGGGTTTAACTTCAAATTTGTTTTCCTTTTTCAGAATATAAAAAAGTCATGAGCTTAAACAATATCATATGGATTGATAAAGTTTGTTTTACCATGAAGGAAGTTTATCATCAATCTTCATCAATCATTTGGTCGAGGATTTTAGCTCCTTTTCATGATTTTAACATTCTTCTTCTTAAATTAATGTACATTCTAATTTCCTAGAAAATAGTTTTTTTAATTTGTTTTAGCATGTTGTAAACTCTGTTATTTTCAATATTTATTCTTAGAATACATGGGACTCATTATTCAGGGGATTCATTTAGAATTTTGTGCTCTCGGTGAAGAGGGATGTGGTTTGGCTGCCCTCTGATGTATAAAGTGGATAAGATATATGAACATTATTAGTTTAAAAATGCATTGATTGATTGCTTCTAAAGAAAAAGTTTAAAGCATCTGTTATTGCTTTAATTCTCTATATGTTGTGGTTTATAATGAATTTTTAGGCTGTATAAATAATGATAGGAAGTTTAATGGGGAATGAGAATGATGTCTTTTGTCATAAGATATTAGAGATCTTGTATTGTTCAAGGAGCCAACACTTTTTCTTGCTCACGGTGGGCATGCCTCAAGGTGTTGGATCAGTAACACCCCTTGATTGAGTTAAATTTTGTGTAGTAAATTGTGGGTTTATTCCTATGTGTTACTACTTGATTCTAAACTTATTGTGGATTTGATACATATGTAATTTTATCAAGAACAATGAGTAACAATAAAGGCAAAGCATATTCGGATGCAAGCACTACTAATGTTTTTCTCAAAATATGCATGGACCAAATTTATAGCAAACATCGTCAAGGATCCTCGTTTACAAAGTAAGGCTGGGACAACATTCACAAAACATTCAATGAAAAGACAGGGAGAGGATATGAGAAAAGACAGCTGAAAAATAGGTTGGATAACTTGAGGAAAGAGTGGAAGGCATTTGAGCAGCTAATTGGTAAGGAGACCGGTATAGGGTGGGACCCTGAAAGGAACACAGTGGTGGCATTGTTGAGTGGTGGGAGAGAAAGAAGCGGGTATGAACTAGCTTCTGTTAATTTTTAAGTAGTTAGTGACTTTTGAAAATAATTTAACTTTTGTTTACTTTTGGCTTTGCAGGAACATCCAGTATATGAAAAGTTTAGGTAGCATGGGTTAAAATTTTGGACTAAATTAGAAACCATATTCAAGGGCATTATGGCATCAGGATAGGATATGTGGTCACCTTCTTCGACCCAGCCTGAGCCATAGAGGGCTGATCAGCCAAATGATTACCGACTAACAATGGATTGGGAAGAAGGTTCAGGGGACATTGAAGACGGGCTTTTAGGTGTTGACACTAGACGCCGTGTAGGAGTTTCGGACAATTTGGACGGCATCAATTTAACTGCAAACACATCAAACACTATACCCAGTATACCTAGTGGTTCAGGGAGCCAAAGGAAGGGGAAGAGAGGTGAAGGGTTAGATAAGTACAAGAAGCAAAAAATGCCAGCGACAAAAAGAATAGCAGATGCAGCAAGCTCAATTGAGAAGGCTTTAATTAGTACAGCAGCGGCAGTAAACAAAATCTCCAATAGTGATAACACTACTGAGCTGACCACTGATCTGCTAAGTATGGAGGAAATTGTTAGTGACACTCATCTTTGTGTCGTGTGTTGTAATCTGCTAGCAAACAAGACTTTCAGGGACATATATGATGGTCTGAGAGAAAATCAAGAGGTATTAGTGGCTTGGTTGAAGCACAATGCTGAAAATCCACTGCCATATGCTGCAACCAAGAATCCTTGAGTTGTGTCCGGGGACTTGTTATGATTTTTGTTTTTCTACCTTAATATACTACTATATGTTATGACGATGTATTTAATGACTAGGTTTAATTTTGTGTGTTTCGTGACTATGTTTAATGACTAAGTTTAATGTTGTGTTTCATGACTATGTTTAATTATTATGTTAAAGTTTAATGACAATTTGTGTATTATCTTTTCTTTTTTTTTTTTTTGGTGGAAATTTTACTTACATTTAGTATTTATCTATTCACAGGTAACATATTTATTATGTCTGATTCAACTGAGGGTTGGGGCGAGAGTTGGGGTGAGGGTTGGGATGAGGATGGGGGAGACAAATGGTCTCAATTACTTCCCGCTTTACATGAACACACAACACAATTATCAGAGCTAAGCGTGTTAATGGGTCAGTATGTGACACCTTTTTTGTGCAAACAGCCATGTAGAACTAGTGAACAAACTGGTTATTTTGGGTTCAAGAACTTTTAGACGGGCATAAAGGACAAGCTAAGGATATGTTTTGAATGAAAACAGAGACATTCCATCAGTTATGTTCTAAATTGGTTGAACATGGGCTACAAAATACTAAGTACATGGGTGTCTATGAATCTGTTGCCATGTTCTTGAATACAATTGCTCATGGCCAGTGTAATAGGATGATTCAGGAAAGGTTTTAGTGTTTAGGAGAAACTGTCAGTTAGCATTTTCATACAGTGTCAGCTGCTTGCCTCAATTTATCTCGAGAAAATATCAGGCCAACTGATCTTATATTTTCCTATTGTCATCCAAATATAACAAATGATCCCCAATACTTCTCATTTTTTAAGGATACAATTAGAGCAATTGATGGTACGTACATAAACTATAAGGTTAGTCAAGCTAGGCAAGACAAATATATCAATAAGAAGGGATTTCCTAGTCAAAATGTCATGGCTGCATGTGATTAGAATATGTGCTTCACGTTCGTGTTGGCAGGCTGGGAAGGCAGTGCACATGATACCCATGTCTTTCATTCTGCTATCTCAACTCCATCCATGAATTTCCCTCATCCACCTGAAGGTATATTTCTTTAATTCCCAAATTAATTATTTTTAAATTTAGCTTCACTTGTATTATTTTCACCTCAACCTAATTGAGTCATGATTTTCTAGGAAAATATTATTTGGTTGATGTTGGTTATCCATCACAAATGGGATACCTTGGCCCGTACAAAAGTGAGCGTTATCACCTTCCAAACTTTAATCGTCACCCAGAATTTACAAATCACAATGAGGCCTTCAATTATTATCATTCAAGTTTGAGATGCACTATTGAAAGAACTTTTGGAGTGTGGAAGACTAGGTTTGCAACCTTAAGAAATATGCCCAGATTCAAGTTTCAAACACAGGTCTACATAGTTTGCAACAATGGCTGTCCATAATTTTATCAAGCAAAATTCTCCAACTGATGACAGCTTTATAGAAGTTGAACATGGAAGTGTAATAGACAAAGACAATAGTCATGTAGCTGGTGAGGCATCCTCATCAAGTTTAACATCTGCCGCACAAATGAATTGTGTTCGTGACTCAATTAGGGACCATATTGTGCAAAGCTTACAATCTAATTAGTTATGTGATTTCATTTATTTTAATTAGAGACCAAATGAATTTTAATTTATATTCATGTTTGTCCATTATGTATAATTAATTAATTATCTACAATGTGTTTTTAAATTTTTCTCCATAACAAATATTTTTATTTCATAATTTCACAAATATACTACTTATATTTTACCATAATAATTTTATACATTTTTTTAAACTATTATCACATTAAAAACATAAAATTTCAAAAACTACTATTCAATAAAGTTCATGTCCTTTTTAGTCATTTTATAACTAAACTAACTTTTCTATTAATTATCCAAACAACTTTCAACTTTTTCAACTGACCTTTTAGAAGTACCTATCCAAACATACCCTAACTGACTTTTATTCTAACTTCAGTTACAAGAGTTAGTTGGACTAGAAGTCAGTTTTGCCCAACACCAATCCAAATATACCCAAAGTTATTACAAACACCAATCTAAAAGTAGCTAGCCAATGAAATACATCAAACTCAACTCTAAAAACTATAAACAGAGTTCCTAACACACCACGATACTGTGAAGTAAATTCACAAAACTCCCAAAGGATAAGACTGCAAAGCTCTGTCCTATGATCCTTGACAACGGCAGGAAAGGGTGGTTGTCTTATGACTTGCTCAAATATTGAGCCCAACCCTTTATTGAAAACTCGTTTTTACTTCCGAAGTTTAACGTATTAAACTTGCTTTGAAAAACTATGGTTACTCCCTATAAACATTTTAACATGTCAGCCTTGAGTTTAACGATAAAAAGTGCTTTCAAATATTCGTTTGTTTTTATTGATCTTAATGTGTTGACTTCTCTTATCTAAAACTTCATTCATTCATAGATCTTGTTTAAAGCAAACCCGTATTTAATGTCTTAAATTCTATATACCTAATGCGTTAACCACATAAGCAACACATCTTTTAGCAAATTTCTTTTTTTACCCCCGAAATCTAACTATCATTAAATTAAGAGAGAATTATTATGAAGCTCCAAGAAAAAACATAATTATTAAAAGTCCCAATAATAACAAAATAGCTTGCAATGACAAAATCTATAATAGGAAATTATGAATACTCACTTGTCATTAGGAACTAGGTAATTACTTTATTTTATTAGAAGCTCATCGCAAGTCTCCCTTAAATTAATCCTGGGCCTAAACTTGTGTTCCTCCTACACCCTTCTCTCTTCCTCCTTCCACCTAAATAGCTGGAAGATTAATGAGCTGCTTGAATTGAAAGTCTCAATCAATCTGTAGTCATATATGCTGATGAACCATAGAAACTTGTCAAGAAGGAGTGAATATAAAGTTTCAACATTTTAGCTCATTGATCCATATTCTACGTTAATCATAACATACAACTAGTTCCCGTAAATATGCCAAGCATCGCCGGCAGCGACAATTCACATAAGAACTTGTATATGAAGACTAAAATGAAAATCTAGCAGAAATTTGTGAATGTCAAAATTTTCGATCACCTGGGAAGCTAAACCCATTCAAAAAAATATACGGGGGAGTTAAAATTTAATAACTTTTTACCAAGACCAAATAACTCGAGCTACTACGAGAGCAATGATAGGCAAGAGGCTGACAAATATTCCACCCAAAAGAGCCTTATCAACAAAATCCCACTCTCTTGTGATCTCACGGGTCCCTTGCTTTTCAATTGATCGTGAGGTAAGTTCACTATTTACCTTTCTGTCATGCAGATGCTTCTGCTTCTGCAGTATCCATCCAATTAAACTTTGGCGCATATGTTTCTGTGGCAACATGGTGTCTCTTGAAACATCATTCTCCTTGTAAGCACTTTGACTACAGCAGATGTCATTTCCACATGCACAAGATTCCATCTTCTCAAAGCAGGCACCACTCTCGGATGAGTTATTGCAGAGAGAAGACTCATCGTAATGAGATGTTTTCTTTCTTGAAGCTGTAATATCATTTGTGTGGTTGAGTGTCTCAATAACTTGCCCAAAAACAGACCACCTCCCAACAGACGTTATCTTAACCATAGCTGAAGTTCCCAACAAGGAATCTGGGGCAGCTACAAGAACTTGTATATATCCTTTGGTATGACCAACCTTGGGCATTTGAAAATAATTGACTTAGATGATAGATACAGTAAAGAAATGGACATATAATAATAATAATATACAACAGTTACAAGTGCAACAAAAGGGTGCTTCAAAGAATTCACATCTAATGATCTGCATAGTTTCTCAAAAAATAAAAAAAGACTGTCAAATGTCTGGAGAGCAAATTAGTAATTCTTGCTCATCCTCCCCCACGTTGCAGAGAGCTTTAGTGTGGCTTCTGTAGCCTTTTACTCAGGCCCAACAAAAAAAAAACAAAAAACAAAAGAAAAACAAGACTGCCAAGTGGATCTTTGTACACAGAAAGGATCTATCAATCTCTAAAATTGACATCTTGTTATTTCCTTAAAACAGAGAGAATCCAAATTCATTAAGCCTTTGACTACAGAATGAAAGTAGGCCTCTTTTCTCCACACCCCTTGGCTGTGTTGAATGAATAGCTGCTTATAGGCATCCACTTATGTGATACTATATATATTTATTTCCACAAAAAACATATTTATGAAATAATCATATAATAAAAAAAGGCAATTAATGAAGCGCTATTATAATGCCTTACCAAGTGAATTCCATCGGCTGCAACATCTGTAATCCAAATTCTTTCAACTTTGCCCTCCATTCCATTATATGGTGTGAAGGCTTCGAAAACATTTGTCAGTTCACGACTTCTTTTCTTCACCACATTACTTGGAACTTTTTTCATCCTTGCAGCAGGGGTCCCTATTCATTTTTATTGGTGTTGTCATTGTTTTGGCAAGGGAGAGTAAATTTTACGAAATATTCAAGGCAGGCAGATAAATAATACATTCAATTACAAACTACAACGTCTAGCTTGATTTTTTAACAAGTAATACCTTGACAAGCTCAAATTCCAATGCAGGATTATTTTACATAGGAAAACTATTAGCTAACGCAGAATAACAAGAATATAATTATAATCATTGTATCTCACCCTGTTCTTTGTTTTAAATTGCAATAGCCCTCTTATTCTACACAAAATTGTAATTGACACCTTACTTAATAGCGCCATCACAAAACTTTCTAAAATTCACGAGTCTTCTTAGTGAAAGAACATACTGCTTCTATCTTAAAGGGAAGATTTTTCTTTGAGCTTTTCAGGCTCATCTCTACATCATTCATTTCCTCAGCATTGCCGCCCCCTCCTTTAGACACCATTGCTGACCCCTATTTGTAATCTCTGCCTACTTGTCCTCCAATGGGCAGACACCCCTATACATCTCAATTTGCCCACCAAAAAAAAAAAAGAAGAAGAAGAAGAAAATCCCTGGCACTTCTGATATACTTCAAATTTATAATCATTTTCAAGGAATTACATCCTTTAAGTTTATCTGAAGCAAATCCAAATGTTATCTTTCCCATTCCTGGATTTTTTGTCATGAGAAGATACTGTTTCAACCTACCTCAAATATCATACAGATGCAATGGCAGAAATACTAGAGAACTTCACAGGTGATGTTGTTCTTGAACAAGCAGTGGCAATCAACAAGAAAGGTATTAGTTTCAATTCGTTCAGTGCCTTTTCCCTTGAATGTCTGACTCTTGGATAATGATGCACACACTTGGGTGAAGTATCATAGTAAGAGGGTACATATACCCTGCAACCTTTGTCATAAAATTGTCCTTGTTGATAAGAAATGCGGGTTTCAAGTCACTCAAAGGGGCTTTGAAGCACATTTTGGCTTCAAAATCATTGAAGACGAATTCACAGTTTTGCTCAGACAAAAAGACACTGGTGGAACCATAATGGCACGACAGAGAACATGTAGTGGAGCTTATATGGGTATTTGAACTACATCCGGAAACCAAAAAACCTTCTGCTTTGAGTTACCATTCTCATCCTAACTTCATCTCAGTATTGAATGAATTAGGAGACTCAGACTCCTTCTAATAGCTACAGGGGCAACATGCAGATTGACCAACCACCTGACAGTAAAAACGACCCCTACAACCATCTTGGCATTTGGAGGAAGTTGAGGCTTTGGTTATGAAATCCGACATCAACCAGAAAATATAGACTTTCCTTTCTCCCCTATAGGAATTCCAAGAGGCATAGGGAACATCAAGCAACGGATTTCCCAACCAGACATCAGGCAAAATCCTAAGACTTATGATCTCTTCTTTCATTTTATAAAATAGAAACAGGCAAATTTGCTTAAGGTTCAAGGAAGAACCAACTAGAGCCATTCTTCCCCATAATTTCTTCATTTTAGTTTTCAATCCTAGGGAGAGTGTCTGTGTATACTTAAAAAAGGGGGGAAAAAAAAATCAAATGCTAAATCTATTTGAGTTGTGCACGTGTGCATTGCATACATCTCTCATATAGTCAAATCGTCAACTTTCTATCACCAATTCATCCATACACATTTCCATTCTCTTTAACCTGAGAACAACTCAAAAGCACAATGGATATGTAACTAAATGGGGAGGGCATGAAAACAAGAACACTTTGCATGGCCTCGTAAAGCCTGGAAACACTGCACGCAGGCAAAGAAAATTTTGCTCCTTGTTACTCCCAAGACACTTGAACTTAATACAGTAGAAATGGTCCATAAGGAAGTCCAATGTTCATTACAATGAGCATATAATCTATTGAAGATCTGCCATGCCTATCACAAAAACAAGAAAAGATGATTGTCGGTCTCAACTCCTAGAATACAATACAAACATTAGGTTAAATAACATGTTGGGATTCCAATGTCCAAGTCTCACAGATTTTAGTAATTGCATTGACCAAATATGAAATGGCAAACATAGCGACCATTAATGACATACCTGGTCGGGGATAAAATTGTGAAATATGGACTTGAGGGAATTTGTACTCCTCAATTAGGCTAACAGTTTGAGCAAAATCTTCGTCAGTTTCACCTGGAGAAATCCAAGAAATAAATGTTTGCTTTTGGGGGGGGGGGGGGACCAAGGACAGTAAGTCCTTCCAAAAAATAACTAAAACTTGTTTATTTTATACAGTTCCAACTATTTTTTTGCATTTCATGATGACGAAAAGAGACTTGTATTATATAGCTCAATTACATTTTGCTTTTACAATTATATTGTCACTTAATTTGTGACGACAAAGTCATTGTCATTATATAGCTCAAGCCATTATTGATGCTTTTTACGGACTTAGTGGCATTGGAGGAAATGTTTTTGTAAGGAAGAAATATAAGACCCAGAAGCATATATTAAATGGCAAAAGGCCTGAGTGAGGAAACAAGATAAAGCTCAAAAAGCTCAAAAGGACATTAAGAGTAAGGTGGCAGACGAAGGGCGAAAAGGAGGTCTGTCTGCAATTAGTTACGTCATGTAGTACATGAGAGGAGAGAGAATGCAGCAACCATGGGTCACTGAACAGAGGGAAAGGTAACAGGTCATGTTGTGGGATTTCTTTGTCAGAACTGAAATGTACCTTATATTGCCCAAAGACCAAAGGAGGCGGATATGTTTTCTTCTTTTTTCATTTTTTTTGTTTATATCTCTATAATTACCTATATTGCTTCCTCCCACCTCTGTTTACACGGACGAAGACATATTTCAGCTATATTAACAATGCCAGAATCAAGTCTCTTCAGCTTTCAAACAAAATTAACCAAATTTAGAGCATCTGCTACTTGGGTGTAATTTTAATTCAGCTGTTTATCGCAACTAAAATTGAACAGATCAGGAAAAGCATGTGACAGAACAAATACTTTGATAAGACCAACCATCAACTAACCAGGAAATCCACATATTATATCAGTGGCAATCTGCATCCCTGGCACAAGCTCAGTCAATGTGTCCACAACAGTCCTGAACTCACTCACAGTATATTCTCGATTCATTGCCTGCAACATTCAGAATAGTCACCATATATAGGGGAAAAAAATTCCTTATCATTCCATTCTACAGAATCTTATACACAATTTGCATAACTTACAGTCAAGATAGTATCACTTCCAGACTGAACTGGTACATGCAGAAAAGAGTATACACACGGATGCCTCAAAACTTCTGCAATGTCTTTTAAGTGCTCAAGGATAAAAGGTGGGTTGGTCATTCCAATGCGAAGCATTGTGCTCGCATCAGGTGGAAGTTCTTTTACAAGGGCATTTAACAAAGTGGGAAGATTGACACCAATGTCACGGCCTGTAAAAATATCAACCAGAAGACCCAAAAAAAAAAAAAAAAAATTATTACACTGGTAAGAAAGTTTCCGGATGAGAATTGTGGCTGCATTGAGTACGAAGGAAACTCTTCAAGATCACATTCATAAATATGCTAAAGCAGTGACCGGAATAAAAGGATTGGTCACTGTTAGAAATTACCATATGCTCCAGTATCTTCACTGCTCAGCCATATTTCTCTGACTCCATCAGCTATGACAGATTTTACTCGCCCTACCTATAGTAGAGAAAGTCCAAAAATATAACAGCAAACTCAAAATGACACAATACATGGTAGCTTCTTCTAAATGCCAGTACTTACAAGGCCATCAATTGAGTAACTCCCCAGGTGACCTCGAGCATGTTTTGTCTTGCAGTAAGTGCAAGCACCTAAACAACCAACATTAATAGGAAGAATCTCAACAAATTTGTTCTTCCTCACCTGTTGTCAAGAGCAAAGCATATATTCTTTCGCCAGGTAAGCAGGAAAACATCATTGTTGTGTGTGTACATAAAAGAACTTCTGAACTACAAGAAAGTGTGAACTGTTGGGGTAGGGAATAAAATGGACAGCAGTCATGCAAGCAGTTCACTCACCTTTGGAAGGTCAAGTGCTGGCAGTGTCTTACGGGTCAAAAGCCTCACCTCATGACCCTTTAGAGTTTCCTCCACAACTTCAACCACACGATCAATTTGCTGGACACCAACTATGCTGATCCCTTCAAGCTCTTTCAAACCCCGGCTTCCTTGTGGAACACAACCAGCTACCACTAGAGGTTTATTTGAACTTTTCCCTTTTGCTATTATGGTATCCATAGCAGATTGACTCGGAGATTTCACGGTGCACCTGCATCCTATGTGCATGATTTTCTTTCTTATGCATTTATTCTTTATTCAACTAGATAGTACATTTTATTTTCATTAGCATCAGTTGATGGTCCTGAGATGTTGGGCCTCCTTGCATGCTCAAGAATTACACCAAAAAATGGAAGACTATTCAATTCAGAGTTAATAAATTCATTGATTAATCTATCATGTAAAATTCAGAAACTTTGGAATAGAAATATGGGAGGTATCAAACTTAAGCCATGAACTAAAATATGATTTAGTTTCACAATTTACTGCCTCAATATAATGTATGATAAAAAATTACAGGGGGGAAAACACAGAAACAGAGTGAGAAAGCTAAAGGCCTTACGTATTTATCAGCCATAGGTCTGCTTCTTCAGGATTATCGCTCAAGGTATAGCCAAATGCTAAAAGCTGACCAGCCATATATTCACTATCACTCTGTTCATACAGTACATGAAAATTATTGATTGAGACCAATTAAACACAGGGTACAATACTCACCCTCAAAAGTTCATACAACGAAGAAAAAGCTTCTAAAGAAGCATGATCAGTTCCTAAATCAGAGCTGGATGTAACGTAGGAAGATGCGTGGGGGTGCGTGCGAGCATGGGGTTTTAATATGCATGGGACTGGCTATGCACTCTTCACCTTTAATATTAGCTCATAAATACTTTATGGTCTAGCTCAATAAGCCAATAGCTCTATCAAGAAATAAGGATTACGACATTAAAAATTGATAGTACAATAAACTATGAACTTAAAAAGGGCAATCTCCAGAAACCATACCCAACTATCCTGAAGAGCATTGAAAACATTTCAGTAAACCAACACACAATTAGCAGTGAAGTAGCTTAAGGCCTGCTCAAGAAAAGAACGAATCGTGCAAATTGAGCATTACCTGGTTATGGGAGCATCCGAAGGTCTTTATAAATATGGTCTGCAGCATCAACACAGACAAACTTAGTCAAGAACTTTCAAGAAGGAGGAAGGAGAGAGATTCAATGAGAATGGACCTGAGTGCCGGGGATTTTTGGGGACAACGAGCTAGCAGAAGTGGAGTCATGGATTTGAGAAAGCTTGTGACTTAGATTACCCTTGTTCCTATTCTTCTTTGGGTTCATTCCAACGGAGGTTACCGGCAAGCGAAAACCCGGCGGAGATCCGTCCCCGCTTCCAATTAACAGATCCTCTATGTCTTCCATATCTCACGAAATGCCTACTTTGCTCAAACACCTAGTAAAGCCTATGGAGAAGAAGCAAGGCACAGAAGCTCCAGAAACCCCAGGAACTGCAATACAGTGACGATTTCTTGAGTTTTTTATTCGAAGCAAGTGCATTGAAAATTATTAATCTATCTACATTTTTGCCAACGATATATATTAACGTGCCTATATTAAGAAGGCAGGGGTAGAGCCAAAATTTCTTTTCCTTTTTCAAATTTTTAACGTTTCCACAAAAATTGAAAGACAGAAGTTTAAGGAAAATAGATTTTATTTTTTATAGTAGTATTTAACAAATTTTTATGAAAATACTGAGTGACAAAATTTTAAAAAAATGTGTATATTAGATAAAAAGAAAAAACTTGCTTTTTGTTATAAATATTACTCTCCTTCTCTCCATTCCTTTTTTTCAAGGGACAATTGTGAAGTGGTGCATCTTTTCTTTTACAAGAAACATTTAAAGGTTATTTCAAATTTTATTTGTTGAATTCTCATATTACTTCTATTAAATAATGCTCATTATATTTAATTTTTATACATTCTCTCTTCCACATAAATGAAAATATTTTTGGCAAAAATATTACATTTTTTATATATTTATTATTTTTAACTAATTTTAATTAATTTGGACAATTGCCTCTTATAAAAATGAACCGAAAGAGTACAGTATTAAGTGTAGATATTCATAACCTTTCAAAAGCTATCTGTTGACATTTCACACTAAAAGCCAACCTACAACATGAATGGCTTTTTAGGAATTTTCTATGATTAAATAGATAGATAGACATAATCTCCAAATGTTTTGTATTTTACAATTATGTAGATTTATTTTTTGAAGTAAATAAAAGATTACTCCCTCTTTCTCTTCCGTTCTCTTTTATCTTCTACATATAATATTTTTCTTATTTTCATAACACTTTTCTTATTTTCTACATATAATATTTTCTTATTTTCATAAAATTGTGAGTTAGTCCAGGGCCCCAGGCCCGACCACAACCAGTGAGGAAAAAAAATTAAATGAACTTTTAAAATGCATCCATATTTTATATAGTCCTTTAAATTATTTTTTTTAAATAAAAATATTTCAAGACATTATATTTCTAAATCATAATCATAAATAAAATAATGCAATTTTTTGTAGTGGCTGCAGCAAGCCAGCAACAGAAACAATAATAAGATTCATCTTCTAGTTTGCTTCTTTATTGTTGTCTAATACTTGAGGATGCTTAATTGTTCAATTATATTTCAAATGCTTATTTGTATTTTTTATTTTTGCCAACATATTGCAAATGCTAATGGATACACGAAGTGCATTTTAATTAGTAAATAGTCCCACTCATACTATATTTCATATATAACTAACTCTAATTTCCTCCAAATACCCAAAAAACATGGGAAAGAGAAAAAGAACCCTTCACATTTTTATACCACACACACGCATATTATCAGCTTTATACCATACATATAGGAACAAAAGTTCATGGGTAAGTACATGAGCACCTTCATCGTGTGTTCATTGAAATATCTACTTATGTTTTATTCTTAAACATACAATCCAGAAAAATATGCTTGGGGAACTAAATTGCGCAATCACATTATTGACGTGGTTTAATATAAGTGAAATACTTTCTCGAATATCTTATATAAGAGCCAGTTATAATGTTAAATTTAATTATAAATATAAAATCTCAATCCAATTTATCTATCATATTGATCATTTCTATCTGAATGAATTTATTTAACTTATAAATAATCCAATGTTATAAAAGAATACTTTAAAAAAAATCATGTCACATTTGTTATAATTAGCCAATTTATTTGGTTTTTTTAATATACCTAAATTAATTAAATAACTTCTATATTAATTACTTGAGAGGGTACATAATAACAAATTAACAAGCAACTTGTAAGCATAACTAACGTTTTTAACGCCGAAGACAAAAAGGAAAAACGAAGAGAACTAATGTAGCCGTATAACATACAATTTGCTGTTTTGGGTCCAAAAAGATCATCAAATCTACATGCTATAATACAACTCATTTCTTAAGCTCTGTATGATACATGAGATCCTCGTCAGGTTAAGCATAAACCCTACAAGCAAAATCTTCTGCAAAATTAGGATGCACTAAGCAGGAACAGCTTCCCCTTTCAAATGGTTGCGCCTGCTCTCTATGAATGTCTGCCGAAATTGTTCAAAGCTTCCGTCTTTGATCGTTGCCCTTATCAGACGAAAGAACAGCAAATAGTGGTGTGTATTGTGGCTGCAAAATTCAATATAATAAATTTATCAACACCATTATAACCAGAAATAGTGCAATACCCCAGAACTAATATGTCAGAGCACAGATTTATGGTAACTCCGTTTGTAACAATATTACTCACCTGGTTCTTGTCATAAGGAATTCAACATGTTTCATGGCATAACATATCTTTTTGAAGCATTAATTTCTTCCACATAGCATCCCCAACTAACTATATTGAGGGTAATTTTGACATTTTACCAAAAATAACTAATTTTAACTAAGTTCTTTAATCCATGTAAAGTTGTTAATAGGTGCTTACAAATAAGAGTAGAGAGAGTATCTGAGCAAAGATATTCATACATGTCTAGTAGGATTTGTGCCAGCATTTCGTGAACGTTGAGTAGGTGATTGATGTATGCTTTGGTATGGTTCTGGCATGTATAGCAGGTGCAGTTTCCTAGAATGGGAGACATGTCTTTCCTGCATGAAAAGGAAGGGGTAAAAAATTAAAAAGACAGTAGCTATAATTATAGCATTTCCATCACTTAAAATGAGTTCAAAGTTACTACACAAATTTAGTTCAAATGTCATTCCAATGGCTATAATTACGAGTTAATAAAACAAACTAGCTCCATAGTTCAGAAATAACACTATTCTCTTGTAGAACGGAGCTCGTACAAACAAAATACTACCAATAAATACCACGACTGTCAAAATTTAGGTCTTTGGAATCATATTACAAAATGACAGTGAAATTGATAAAAATGATATGCGTAGGACTGGATGGTTGAAATTAAAAAAATTAAAAAAAATTAAAAAAATTAAAAAAACAAAGGCATCATAAGTTGTTTATGACCATAATAAACCTTTTAAGCTTAAAGGAAAGCTTATCAAACTGTCATAAAGCCAGCAACAAGTGAACATTGAACGTTGAACGTTAATATTTTGCATTGGCCTCAGGTTTAGTGCCACTTTACTAACAAGAATAACTCTAGTCTTTGAGCCACTAAAAGACACAAATTCCATTGGGGTTCCCAAAACATCTAGATTTACTAACAAGAATGACCCAATAATATTTTGCATTGACCTCAAGACTAGTGTCACTTTACATTACCTGCTGATTAAAATTTCAAACCCATACCAGTATTAGCATACTAAAACATAAAAAAATAAAATAAAAATGTTGAACAGTTTATCATTTTACCTATAAACAGTAGCTCTCAAATTAATTTTGGTCGAGTCACTTCCTATTTGACTCAACTGCAGATTATAACGATTCCCATCTTTGTCCAGTGGAAAGGTAAGTGCATATCCTCCAAGTGTGAGGGAATATATGTACCTGCAAATTATCTCATCAACCATCCTAATTTCATAATAGAACAAAATACTGTAAAGATCGCGTTGTTGTAGGTAAAAATATAAAGTAGGCTTAGCAACTTACGTTGAGTCAAAAAGATCGATTCCAGCGGCTATTCCTTGCAAGACCTCCTCTGTAAAGTTAAAATTATTTTTATATGAAATAAATTTCTATTCATTCTGGCTGAATAAAGAAAGAACACACTTGTAAGGAATTTCATTTTTTTCTTATAAACATTTTAAAGGACAGATATTAATATATGGATAAGAAAAAGATGAATAAAATGATAGTCATGAATTATTTACTTACTAACCCATTCCTAGGTCAACCATCAACTGAATTAAAACCATGTCTCCCTCACTCTATATGATCATGCCACTTAAAATGCCAAACCCAGTAGGTGGGTCGTAACACCAACTAAATATGACATTTTGCATAAAAAATTAATGACAATGAACCAAAAGAATTAGCCACATTAAACAAGGTACCTGGAAGTCCAAGCCCACAGACCATGCGTGGCTTATCATCTGGCAAGATATCCTGAGAATAAGTCATCATGTTATCCACGATAGCCAAAGAAAACATCAATTTTCTACCACTATGTTCAAATATAAAACATGCCTGAGTTTCACAAAAAGAAGAAAAAACAAGAAGCAGCAGCTTGTATGCGCATGTGGCTTTGTGTCAAAGAAAATTAATAAGAAAACACCTCTCCAAAGTTTTGTTTGAGGGATTAAAAGACCTTTAATAACTTAAGTGTCTCTAGAGCCAGAGCTCTGGCAACTTGAAAGTAGTCTATATTCATGAGAGCAATGAAAATTTTTGCAAAAAACTGCTCAACAGTTCAGAGAAGATTTTTCAGGTCTGATGGTCAAGTGGGATTCGAGACTTGAGAAGATAATAAGTCCCAACTCCTAAGTAACCTAGTTTGAGAGGAAGTGTTGGAACCTCATAATTATGTGCTCATCATGAGCCCATTTTTTTCTGATTATCCCCTGGTTTGTTCATCGCACGGGGTTTCAGCATTCCAGTAATCTAGTCAACTTAGTTTTTTTTTCCTTTCCAATTTCTGCGTATCATGCTACCTATATTATGCGTTTTTTAACTTCTGTTTCTCTTTTAGATATATGATTGGTTGGTTGACTTCTAAAGCCACAATCTCCTTTGTATGTACGGCTCCCATGTCAAAATAAAATGAAAAAGAAGAAACTTTTGAATTTCAAATTTAAAAAAATGAAAATGAGACATGTATCAGAATATTGGATACCTAGCAGAGCAATATTCTTTAGGAATATTTTCTCAGAACTTGAACCGCATATGGGAATTTATAATTGTGATGCAACATTTTGAGGAGTCCTGAAAGCATTTCAACAGCCAAGCACACCCCCCCCCCCCCCAAAAAAAAAAAAAATGGAACGTAAATGGGCAAAATTTATCTACAGAATGATGAAAAGAC